AAATACTTAGGTAATTTCTATTTGTCTGTATTTTCTTTCAGAACTAACTGCAAGTTATTTATCTTTTAACACCACTCTTATTTATGAAACACATTTTCTTTTCCTACGTTTTAGAAATGGTCCATCTTTTTTATTTTATTTTTTTTTGACATTGCTGGAGTGAAGTGGTGCAATTTCGACTTACCACAGCCTCGACCTCCCAGGCTCAGGTGATCCTCCCACCTCAGCCTCCTAAGTAGCTGGAACTACAGTTGTACACCACCACCCCCAGCTAATTTCTGTACTTTTGTAGAGAAAGGGTTTCGCCATGTTGTCCAGGCTGGTTTTGAGTTCCTGGACTCAAACAATCCACCCATCTTGGCCTCTCAAAGTACTGGGATTAAGGGCATGGGCCACCTCACCTGGCCAATGGTCTACCTTTTAAGTTTTGGACTTATTCTGCTCAGCTAAAGTTGAAATTCACTTTAACAAGGCCAACACTTCATGAAGCCTCTACAAAATGTGCTATTAATAGGGTTCACAGCTTTTATAGCTTAAAAGGCTGTGAAAATCTCTAAGACCATTCCTCATCACTGCAGCACATTCTACTGGGCAGCACTGTTGAAGAACCAGCTGCTCTGAAGACATCAACAATCTACAAAGTAGAAGGTATAAGATCCCCTTGATAACCTAGATGGTAGCATTTACAATTGCAGAGCCCATAGGAATAACACTAGTTTCTACTCTAATGCTGGTCCTGCCTAAGAAATGACTATTAGAACCAAGAATTCTGTACAGCACCTGCGAAGACCATCTAATCACCTGACAGGTGCTCTCTTCTCCCATAAGATTGAGACAGGGCTTTTGGCTCTCAGAAATTTTGCAGATACTTGTATCTCAACATGGCCAAAATTAACTTACCTTCACATGCTGCCACACTCTACTCAAATCTGCCTTGTTCCCAGAGTTCCTTATCTCAAGAAATTACACACACTGAAATTGTACACTGCCCTTTTTTTTTTTTTTTTGAGACGGAGTCTCGCTCTATCTCCAGGCTGGACTGCAGTGGTGCAATCTCCACCACTGCAACCTCTGCCTCCCAGCTTCAAGCGATTCTCCTGCCTTAGCCTCCCGAGTAGCTGGGACTACAGGTGCGTACCACCATGCCCATCTAATATTTTTTGTATTTTTCAGAAAAGACAGGGTTTTACCATGTTGGCCAGGCTGGTCTCGATCTCCTGACCTTGTGATCCGCCCACCTCGGCCTCCCAAAGTGCTGGGATTACAGGTGTGAGCCACCCTGCCCAGCTGCACACTGCACTCTTAAGCCAGAACCTTAAAAATCATCTTAACGCCTTCCCCCTTCTCCCTCAATCCCCATATCCCATCAATCACCAGATCCTACTGATACCAATTCTCAATTATTCTCAAATTGTCCACTTATCTCCATGCCACTGCTACTACTATCCCAAAGCCACATAATCTCCCACCTGTACTGACTTCACAGCATTCTGGCCCTGAATGCACCCTGTAAGATAAAATTGAAACAGTGGACTTCTTCTTTTTTTTTTTTTTTTTTGACACAGTCTGGCTCTGTCACCCAGGCTGGAGTGCAGTGACACGATCTCAGCTCATTGCAACTTCCGCCTCCTGGGTCCAAGAGATTCTCCTGCCTCAGTCTCCCAAGTAGCTGGGATTATAGGCACCTGTTACCACACCTGGCTAATTTTTATATTTTTAGTAAAGATAGGGTTTCACCACATTGGCCAGGCTGATCTTAAAACTCCTGACCTTAAAAGTGCTGGGATTACAGGCACGAGCCGCTGTGCCCGGCCTCCTACTTCTTATAGATACAAGTGTTGCCTATTTCTCACCACACTCACTTTTGCTCAGCACGTTCCAACCAAAGTATAAATACATTCCTTCTCTCTTGCTTATAGGCCTTACCACATGCAATTTTCTCCACCTGGAGTGCCTCTTCCCTCTTTGACTAACTTGTACTCATCCTATAGGTCATCTTCTAGGTGACCTTCGTAGCCCCCGAATCAGATTAGGTACCCCAGGTGTAAGCTCTTTAGCGCCATAATTCTTCCACTTCATAAAATTCACCACCCTTTTTTACTATTATCTTTTGTTTCTCTGTAAGATGGTATGTACTGGGAGATCAATTACCTTCTCTTTAACACCCATGCCTATACTATCAGAGCCTAGCACGGAACTTGATATATCATAGTAAATCAGCAAACATATGATGAATAATACATAATTTTGTAAATAAATAACATTGTAAAATTTTTAATGCAATTCTGAACAATTATTAAAACCAAAGCAGGACTGACCTGGTGTTTTCGTTATATTCAAAAATCTGAACCTTGGCCATTGCATTGGGGCTACTGTCATCGCTTCCTACAGCGATCATGGGGGAATGAGCACGAGAGCTAGAAACACAGAGAAAGAACATTTTAGATAATGAAAGAAATAATTCATTCAGAAAATGAACACACTGAAGGCAAGCAGACAACAAGCTTAGAGTCAGCCTGTCATTACTAGTGACATCTACGTCTCTGCCACACAGCTGACATGACCACACTGCAAGTATGTACACCTGAGAATGTCACACATGAGAACTGAGGATTCCGTCCTTATGGACTGTTTTTGGCATGTTCTTATGGCTCAGATAGAAAGGAGCTCTTTGCCTGAAAGAAAGCTTCAAGCATTCAACAGATTTTAAAAAGATACTTCAGAGGTCTTAGTAATTTTTCCTGCTGAAATTTTTGTCTGTCACTCAGGCTGGAGTGCAGTGGCTTGATCTCTGCTCACTGCAACCTCCACCTCTTGGGTTCAAGTGATTCTCCTGCCCCTCAGCCTCCAGAGTAGCTGGGACTATAAGCGTGAACCACCATGCCCGGCCACAAACTTCCGTTTTCAGTGTTCTACAAATACTTAGTTTTGATTTTATAACATTAATAGTTTGAATGAGAACCAACAGCACATTTATAGTGACATATTCTAAATTACTAAAAACAAGATTTTTTTTAAATTGAGATTGGGATCTCACTATGTTGCCCAGGCTGGACTTGAACTTCTAGGCTCAAGCAGTCCTCCTCCCGAGTAGCTGGGACTACAGGCATGTGCCACCACACCCGGCTAAAAATCATACATTTTAAAAATATTTTTAAATCCAGTCATTAAATGTCCAGACAGCAACATGAACTGAGGATCACCTCAGCTGTACAACCAGAAATAAGATACTCCAATTTAAATTACTTTCCAAATATGATTCACAGCTAAACAGTGAGAAAAACCATCTCGCTTTCAGACTGAATAGTGTAGACAGATCACCTGCATGTCTGCCTCCCTCCAAAGGCCCCACTGAAATGATGAAAGAACAGTATCGTACAGCGCTAGAAATCTAGAAAGTGTACCATCAGAAATCAAGAAATTTGGAGGGTTTCTAGGATGTCAGGAGACAGATCAGACTGAGAAAGAAAACACAAAGGAAAAAAGAATCCATATCACCATTAGTAAGAAGAAAATTCCAAAAGGTCCAACCTCCAATTAATAAATGCAAAGAACAGAAATGAGTCATGGACAATTACAGAGTGATTTAGTCAAAAAACATCTGAGGAAAGGTCTTAGTGAAACAATTAGAACTTGAAAGAGACAAGTTAAGAACTGGAAATAAAGGAGTACTCCAAAATCGGCACGGAGGAAGAAAATACACTCAAATGGTCCGTCATGCTCAATGGAAAACCTTCCTTGCTTTGTCAGTTTGGGGGTACCCCAGCCTGCCAGCCTGCTCTTGGCTCACACATCCTTAGGAAACCCTGCCAACCTACTTCACCCACTCCACAAAATTCAGTCAGCCTCCCTCGTTGAAAGAGTAAGTTGTTAACACAACAAATCACCCAGCAGAAGAAAAATGCCAATATCAGTTTTCTCTACTAGCAGTAACAATCCCTCACTCATAAATATAAATAAGCAAAGATTAGCAAACTCCAAAGAAAACCAAGGCACACGAAAAGAACTCATCTTTGAGAAAAAACACACAGCCAATCCTCGATATTTACAGATTCTGCACTTGTAAACTGGCCTAAATTTATCTGTAACCATAAAACCAATTTTCCAAGGCTTTATTATTTTTATTTTTTGAGACAGAGTGTTGCTCTGTTTCCCAGGCTGGAGTGCAGTGGCATAATCTTGGCTCACTGCAACCTTCACTTCCCAGGTTCAAGGGATTCTCCTGCCTCAGCCTCCTGAGTAGCTGGGACTACAGATGCCTGCCACCAGGCCCACCTAATCTTTGTATTTTTAGTAGAGACAGGGTTTCAACATGTTGGCCAGGCTGGTCTCAAACTCCTGACTTCAAGTGATCTGCCCGCCTCGACCTCCCAAAGTGCTGGGATCACTCCCAAAGTGATGAGCCACTGCACTTTCATGGTCATTCACTGGCAGGTGCAGAGCAGGTCTGCGAAAAAATCGAGTTCCCTGATGCACAGGTTCCCAGCAGAGGTGCCTTCTTCCCTTGGCTCTCATATGGCAAACGAATGTCCTTTTCACAGTCTAGTTAGCCTCACGTTTTTCACATTTTTGTGCTTTTTAAAAGTGATTTCACAGTTTAAAATCCCATGGATGCTGTTGAAGTGCTGTCTAGTGTTCCTAAACATAGGAAGGCTGGGATGTCCCTTATGGAGAAAATATGTGTATTTGAAAAGCTTTGTTCAGGCCTGTGTAGTAGTGTTGTGGCTGTTAGTTCAATGCTAATGAATCAACAACATATAAGTTGTCTTTAAAATGAAAGACACACAAAAAGGCTATACACTGATCAGTTGATGAAAATGTGGTGAGAGGTTTGTGGAAACCCTGTATTTCCCCTAGGAAGAATTCAGTATTAGCTAATTCAGTGTTTATGGCAACTTTATAGAACACTGCCAGTGCAAATGATAACTGACTGTAAGTCAGCAAACAAATGCAAATTTTTAAAAATCTTAACTAGGAAATGCAGGGAAATATTGAAATACACATACCTAAATTGACTGGGATAAAAAAGAAGTAATCAGAGAAAAAGAAAGTCTGAACAATTAAAAATGATTGCCATTCGCCCAAAAATTCAATGATGGGATAAAGTATATACCTAGAGAACAAAGCGGAGATCTGGGTTAACAAAGTACTGAATCTCCAAACAATTTTTTTTTTAAATGGAGAGTAAATCCTGGAATAATCAAAGAGGAGTCCCAGAAAGACAGAACAGAGACAAGGGAATAAAAAGAAATTGGCCAGGCACAGTGGCTCACACCTGTAATCCCAGCACTTTGGGGGGCCAAGGCGGGCGGATCACCAGTTCAAGAGATCAAGACCATCCTGGCCAGCATGATGAAATCCCGTCTGTACGAAAAATACAAAATTAGCTGGGTGTGGTGGTGTGTGCCTGTAGTCCCAGCTACTTGGGAGGCTGAGGCAGGAGAATCACTGGAACTCCACAAGGTGGGGGTTGCAGTGAACTGAGTTTGTGCCACCGCACTCCAGCCTGGCAACAGAGCAAGATTCCGTCTCGGAAAAAAAAAAAAAAAGAAATTATCAAGGGATCATAAGACATCCCCAATTTGAGACAAAAACATTCATTTTCAAAGGGACCACTGAGTGCCAAGCAGGACTGGCCAAGTGCGGTGGCTCACACCTATAATCTCAGTACTTTTGGAGGCTGAGCCAAGAGAATTGCTTGAATCCAGGAATTCAAGACCATCCTAGGCAACATAGGGAAACCCCATATCCACAAAAATATACAAAAAAATTAGTTAGGCATGGTGGTAAGTGCCTTCAGTCCCAGCTACTTGGGAGGCTGTGTATGGTGGGAGGATCACCTGAGCCCAGAGAGGTTCAGGCTACAGTTAGTTAGCTGTGATTGTGCCACTGCACTCCAGTCTGGGCAACAGTGACACCCTGTCTCAAAAACAAATACATAAAAAATAATAAATAGTAAGTGCCAAGCAAGATTAATCAACAAAGGCCAATACCTAATACTCCAGGTTGGGATTTTCCTGGAGAAGGGGAATGAGGAAAGTACATACAGATGAAACAGCAGCAGCCTTGGGTTACTATAGCTGGGTGATGAGTATGGAAGGGCCTGTCTACTGTACTTCTGTTACTTTTGGTGTATCTGAAATTTTCTCTAATGAATACACCTGACAACCCCAAGATGGGAAAAACTGCTCAAATAAAACACAAAAAGCACTCCAACAATAAAGCCTGACAAATATGATTACATTAAAACTCATTTCCACTGGCTACTAAAATCCATCATAAAAAGTGTCAAAATACACTTGCAACAGAGCTCACAATAATAAGACAAAACCCTAAAACCTTCTGGAAAGAACAAGCTACCACAAAAGAACCAGCATCAGACTAACCATAGCTCATTAACAAAAACTAGTTAAAAATATGCAAGAATTGTATCTTCGAAATTCTTACATTCAGAACTCTAAAACTTGCCAAACTATCAATTAAGCATGGGAGTAAAATTAAGACATTTTCAAGTGTGCTAGAATCTCAAGAGTTTGCTATCCATTCTATTTGAGAAAAGATTAGGTATGTCATGGAAATGGAAAAAAAAAAAATTAAAGACAGCATATGATAGAAAATTTGTGACAGCTAAGTATAAGCCAGAAGTAAAAGAAATAAAGAAGAGGGCCGGGCGCGGTGGCTCACGCCTGTAATCCCAGCACTTTGGGAGGCCGAGGCAGATGAATCACGAGGTCAAGAGATCGAGACCATCCTGGTCAACATGGTGAAACCCCGTCTCTACTAAAAATACAAAAAATTAGCTGGGCATGGTGGCGCGTGCCTGTAATCCCAGCTACTCAGGAGGCTGAGGCAGGAGAATTGCCCGAACGCAGGAGGCGGAGGTTGTGGTGAGCTGAGACCACGCCATTGCTCTCCAGCCTGGGTAACAAGAGCGAAACTCCGTCTCAAAAAAAAAAAAAGAAAGAAAGAAAGAAAACAGAGCACTCATCAATACTAATTAACAGTAACAACAAAGTTTTCATGAAAAACATATTGGCATCTCAAATGAAGACTTACATAATCTAGATTATAAAGCTGGATGCTACTTAATTTTTAGAATCAACATGTAATCAAAAGACAAAATACGTATTTGTTAAATGTTTAGAGAATGTAAATATTATAAATTTTGCCAGTATACAAGCAATATAAGAATTAGGAAATGGAAGCAGCAGTGTGAGGGGGAAGCAAAATAAACTAATTTCCTCTTTTTTAAGAGAGAGGAGTAAATATATAGTCTAAAAATTGGTAAGTAAAAATGTACAGACATATATATCATTTGAAATTATAATAATTATCAACATAACTCAAACAACTATCAACATCACCACAAATAAGATATCTATCTAGCCATACCTTGGGATGTGGAAAGTTTTATAAATGTGCTCTATTCATCTTTCATTGCAGTTTGGATATTGTTTAATGATAACACAGCAAGAATTTGTGAAAAAATAGCAGAATAAAAATTTTTTTAAAAAATAAAGAAAAAGATACATAGCAAGAACCAGGGGTATAAGTAAATAATTTAAAAATATACTAGTGACTACCAGAATTAAAGTCTAAAAGCAAAACTGTTAACAGCATTTGTTTTTAGGGGGTAAGGGAACTTTACCTTTCTTTTTATGCTCTTATAGATCATTTCGATTTTTTTCTTTACCAAGTGATTCTTGTAATTGTTTAAAAATAGTTTAATAAAAATCAACTATGGCATAATTCATATAGTCATGCCCTATATAGCAGTTAAAAAGAAATGAGGTAGGGCTAGATATACTAATATATGGAAAAATGCCCACAATGTATCTGTAAGTGAAAAAAGCTAATTGCAAGGAAGGAAAATGTATGGGTTTCTGGCTGGGCGCAGTGGCTCACACCTGCAATCCCAACACTCTTGGAGGCTGAGGCAGGAGGATCACCTGAGGTCAGAAGTTCAAGACAAGCCTGGCCAACATGGTGAAACCGTCTCTGCTAAAAATACAAAAATTAGCCAGGCGTGATGGCGCATGCCTGTAATCCCAGCTATCTGGGAGGCTGAGGCAGGAGAACTGCTTGAACCCAGGAGGTGGAGGCTGCAGTGAGCCAAGAGCACACCACTGCATTCCAACCTGGGCAACTGAGCAACACTCTGTCTCGATAAATAAATAATAAAATAAAATGTATGGGTTTCAATGTCTGTGTGTTTTGTGTCTACCTGTGCTAGTAAATACCTGGGCATGTTTGCATATATGTGTGTTTATGAATACGTTAGTTACTTGTGTATGCATAAAAAGCATCCAGAAGGTTCACATGAAAATATTTACAATGCTGGCTTCTCTGTTGAGTGAAAACAGGGGGACAAGTGACATGCCTGGGTGAAAAATGGAAAATGTAAACTCTATATATCTTGAGAAAAAGCATTTTTGAGAAAATAAATTATCAAATTGTTAGCTTAAAAATTACTAGTTTATTTACTAGGATGTTAACAGCAGTTTACTATGTAAACTTACCTTGAAGGGTTCCAAGAAATACAACTACAGCTTAGCTTACATGAGATCTCATGCTGCAAAGACCACTGGCTGAGATTCATAACATCTGGTGCCTCATATATTCTTACTATACCATCTGCTGAACAGGTTGCTAACATAAGACCCATGTGCTTGGGAGCAAACTTCACATCAGTAACAGATGTTCTGCTATCCACCAGAGTTGTCCTTTTAACCTAAAAAAAATAATTAAATTACAAAAAGAAAGCATGGTAGAGTGGAAAAGACACATACACTTTGGAAACACACAGAACCTCCTCTGTCATTCACTAGGTATATAAGCTTGGATACATGTCTATGCCACAATTTCCTACAAGCACATGGCAAAATACCATATACATAGCTGGCAACCACTAACAAATTAGTGAGCCAAAATTAATTACTCCCTTTAATAAAAAAAAAAAAAAAAAAAAAAACCTACCTCTGAAAGCCTAACTTTATCATATAAGTAATCTCTCTTAAGCAGATGTCACAAAAACCAGAAACCGTTAAAATTTTCGGACAAGTAGTTTCGTCATACAAAGCATGCTGCAAGCATTAGATCCTTTAAATAGAAAATGAGCCAGGCACAATGGCTCACACCTGTAATCCCAAAACTTTGGGAAACCAAGGCAGGCAGATTGCTTGAGCTCAGGAGTTCAAGACCAGCCTGGGTAACATGACAAGATACCGTCTCTACTAAAAATACAAAAAAAATTGCCAGGTATGGTAGTGCACACCTGTAGTCCCAGCTATTCCAGAGGCTCAGGTGGGAGGATCACTTGAGTCAGTGGGGCAGAAGTTACAGCGAGCCAAGATTGTGCCACTGCACTCCAGCCTGGGCGACAGAACAAGACCCTGTCTCAAAAGGAGAAAAAAAGCCAGTAAATGGAAGGCATGCAATTTCTTCTCTCAAGAATAATTTTCTTTTAATCCCATTTGGACCACTATTACTCATTTTTTTTTCCTTTGGGACAGGGTCTTGCTCTGTCACCCAGGCTGGAATACAGTACCATGGATCATGGCTCACTGGCAGCCTTGAACTTCTGGGCTCAAGTGATCCTCTTGCCTCAGCTTTCCCAATGACTGTAACTACAGGCACCTGCCACCATGCCCAGCTAAACTTTCTTATTTTTTTAGAGATGGGGGGTCTCACTATGCTGCCCAGACTGGTCTCGAACTCCTGGCCTCAAACAATCCTCCCACCTCAGCCTCTCAAGTTGCTGGGATTACAGGTGTGAGCCCACTGTGCCCAGCTACTATGCACTTTTAAATAAAGGCATTTAACAGAGGCCAAAAGAGTGGTAGAAAACAAGCATCGTGGTCACTATAAAATTCCAACACCACATTTATAGCTATCTTCTGGCACCTAGCTTAACATGAAACTTCATGCCTGTAATCCTGGCACTTTGGGAGGCTTAGGTGGGTGATCACAAATGCATTCGTTACAGTAGGTAGTCAGACATGAGGAGGGCAGCAAAGGACCCCACCCCACCAGGAAAGACAGGTGACCATCAGGTGATGGTCAAGCAGTTGTTAAACTTTCTCTCTAAAATAATCATTGGTCGCAGCAGCACCAGGGAAAGGCAGTCTCCCAACAGATATTATCACCTGAAACTGGTGATCAGCAGCTTCCTGATAAGATCTCAGGAGTTGGATGAGTGGGCTCAAGCATGTGCACTAAAAGGCAAAATGGTGGAGTTTAACTGGTCTATGACCTTCTACAAACATTCTGTTAAGCGAAAAACACCTCAAGTGAGCATGTGCACAACTCCAGTAAATACACTGCGCATGCAGCCCCTCCCAAGCACCAACGGGCCACTGCACATGCGGACTGTCCACCCCAAGGGAAGAATCAGAGAAGAGACGCAACCCCTGGGAAGCATGCCAACGTGTAACGACCCAAGTCAAAAGTTGAATCGTGCACTTGGCTCTCTCAAGTCACCCACTTGGTCTTCTTCCAAGTATATTTTACTTCCTTTCATTTCTACTCTAAAATTTTTTAACAAATTTCCACTCCAGCTCTAAAATTTGCCTTAGTTTCTTACTCTGCCTATGCCCCTTGGTGGAATTATTTCTTCTGAGGAAGCAAGAAATAGGTTGCTGTAGACCTACACGGATTCACCACTGCTAATACATTAATGGTGACTAAATACAAATAAATATCTTGAAGATCGAAGAAAAATCCTTCTTATGCCACCCCCAAATCTAACCTATAGTATACTGAACTGACACACCTCAGACTTAATGCCAACAAAATCCTTTCTAATTCTATAAATCCCCATTCTCTCCTCCCCATAAGCAGCTTGCCTTAGAGAAGCCCTAGTGCAAAGACAATCAGACATACTCCTCCCCCTAGAAGAGTCGTAAAACAGTCTGAATAGCCATTCAAGCTACAAAGCTAACATAATTAAAACAGTGTGCTATTGAGACAAGGAGACATACAGGCCAATGGTAACAAAATGGTAACAAAAGAGTCCAAAAATCAATCCTCCATATATAGAGCCAACTAATTTTCAACAAATGTCAAGACCATTAAACAAAACTTTCAACAAATGTCAAGACCATTCAACAGTCTTTTCAATAAATGGTGCTGGGAAAACTAGATTTCAGCACCCTACCATTTTTTAGTGACCGAAATAAATAATTTTTATCAGGTCCTTGCTTGCTTGCACATGTTAACCACTCACTTTTTGTTGAATATCCCTTGTTGCCACAATATAATGATAAACTGTTGTACTGCTTCTTTGTCAAGCAGAAGGAGATAACTTCAGAGTCATGTAAAGAAAAATGTTGGCAGAAGAAATGAATGGCTTTAAGGACATTGTGACTAGCTGCTTACACCCAGATGTCTGGTTGCTCAAGGCATTACCTGAGACTAAAAAAACACAGATTTTTTTAGATTCTCTGAAACTCCCCCTCCCTTACTCTCTAGTTACATAAAACTACCTGCTGCTTCCTTTTGTTAAGACAGATTTGAGAGATCTTGTCCCCCTCCCACCTTCCTGTTTTAGCCAAATCGAATAAACCTTTCTCTATCTCCAAGTAATGGTGACTCAGTATTTGGTCTCAGCTACACACTGTGGATACAAGCCTGAATTCAGGATCCTACAACAATATTAGAAGAAAACACTGGGGGAAATCTTCACAACACTGGATTTGGCAATGCTTTCCTGAATATAACACCAAAAGCATGGGAAACAAAAGAAAAAAATAGATAAACTGGACTTCAAAATGTTTAAATTTTGTGCATCAAAGAATACTATCAAGAGTGAAAAAGACAGCTCACAGAATGGGAGAAAATATTTGCAAATCATTTACAGATTGTACATAACAAATCCAAAAACCTGAAATCTGAAATGCTCCAAAATCCAAAACTTTTTGAGCATTGGCATGATGCTAAAACAAAATGATTACTGGAGCATTCTGGATTTCGATTTTTAGATTTAGAATGTTTAACTGGGGCTGGGCACAGTGGCTCACACCTGTAATCCCAGCACTTTGGGGGGCCAAGGTGGAGGATCACCTGAACCCAGGAGTTCAAGACCAGCCTGGGCAACACAGTGAGACTTTGTCTCTATTAAGTAGATAAACAGGAGAATGCTTAACTGGTAAGTATAAATACAAATATTCCAAAATCCAAAATCCGAAATCTGAAACATTTCTGGAACCAAGCATTCTGATAAATAATACTCAACCTATACCTGGATAAGGGATTAATATCCAGAATATATAAAGAATTCCTACAACAACAAAAATACTCAATAAAAAAATGGGCAAAGGATATGAATAGTATTTTCATATTCATATCATTTTGAATATGAATTCAAAGGAAGACATACAATTGGCCAATAAGCACATGAAAAGGTGCTCAACATCAGTAATCATTAGAGAAATGCAAATCAGAACCACAATGGAGATACCGCTTCATAACAGTCACAACAGTAGGATGGCTACAATAAAAAAGCACAATAACAAGTGCTGATGAAGATGTGGAAAAACTGGAATCCTTGAGCACTGCTGGTAGTAATGTAAAATGGTGTAGCTGCTATGGAAAAGTTTGACAGTTCCCAAAAATGTTAAACATAGAATTACCACAAGAGCCAGTAATTCTACTCCTAGGTATATATCCAAAAGAATCGAAAGCAGTCTCAAACATTTATCTGTACAGCAATGCTCATAATAATATTATTCATAATAGCCTCAAAGTGGAAACAACCCAAGGGTCCATCTACAAATGAATGGATAAACAAAATGTAGTATACACGCACAAAAATATTACCCAGCCATAAAAAGGAATAAATATATGCTACAACATGGACAGACCTTGAAAACATTTTAGTGAAATAAGCCAGCCACAAATGTACAAATACTGTGATTCCCTGTATACCCAGTACCTAGAGTAGTCAAATTTATAGACAGACAGTTGAATGGAGGTAGAAGGAGGAGGAAGGGGAAGGCATTCTTTAACAATATGGAGTTTATGTTGGCAATGATGAACAGTTTGAGGTATAGAGAACAGTGATGGGTACACAGCACTGTGAATGTAATTAATTCCACTGAATTGTACCACTTACGAATAGTTAAAATGGGCAGGGCATGGTGGCCCACGCCTATAATCCCAGCACTTTGGGAGGTCAAGGTGGGCGGACCATTTGAAGTCAGGAGTGTGACCAGCCTGACCAATATGGTGAAACCTCGTCTCCTTCTAAAAATACAAAAAAATTAGCCTGCCATGGTGGCACATGGCTGTAGTCCCAGCTACTTAAGAGGCTGAGGCAGGAGAATCACTTGAACCCCGGAGGCAGAGGATGCAGTGAGCCGAGATCGTACCACTGTACTCCGGCCTGGGTGACAGAACAAGGCTCCATCTCAAAAAAAAAAAAAAGTTAAGATGATGACTGTTATATGTTTCACATTATTTTGCCATAATAAAAAATTGCATCATGGCCAGCATAGTGGCTCACACATATAATCCCAGCACTATGGGAGGCCGAGGCAGGAGGATTACTTGAGTCCAGGAGTTTAAGGCCAGCCTGGGCAACATGGTGAAACCCCATCTCTACAAAATAAAAAAATTAGCCAGGCATGTAGGTGCATGCCTGTGGTCCCAGCTACTTGGAGGGCTAAGGTGGGAGGATTGCTTGAGTCCAGGAGGTTGAGGCTGTAATGAACTATGATTGGCTGTATTGCAGTATCATGCATTAGGGAGGGCAGGTGAGGGGTGATAGGACTAGAGAAAAAAATACTGTCCTTGTAAAGGAATGGAGTTACATCTGGAAGGATACACAAAAACCTGTATGTACTACCTCTAGCGAGAGAACCCCACAGCAAGGGAAATGGAGGACACTCCCACTGCATACTCCCTTTTGTTTCTTTTGAATTTTATACCAGGTGCATGATTATCTATTACAAAAAACAAATCATAAAGCTGGGGGTGAAAAGCCTGCAGATGATAATACCTTCATGTGAAAATGCTGGAAAGGGTCTTTAATCTAGTTCAGTTTTTCACTTTATAGGTGAGGACCTTCAACAGCACACAGATTATTTTATGTTCTTGCCCAAATTCAAATATCTAATCAGGCAAAAAGAGTGGTAAAAGCAGATGCAGATAAAGGAGAGTATATTTTCTAAGAAAATAAAAATAACCACAAAATAAAAGAAACACTTTTTAAGGAATTATATTAACCCTTAATAGTTTAAGGTTAAAAAAAAAAAAAAAAGAATTTTAGTGTTAGACACAGTGGCTCATGCAGCAACTCAGAGGCTGAGGTGGGGCCAGGAGTTTGAGACTGCAGTGAGCAAGCGTATGTTAAAATCATATATGACTACGATATAAAATATACTAACAGGTAAAATTATATAAATGCAAATAGTCTGGAGGCATCATAAAAGTCATAAACAATGCAATGGTGCTCCTATTGCTTCAAACCCAACTTAAAATGAAATGAACAAGTAAGAAAAAAACATGGAAGAAAGAACTTTAGAACTGGTAACAATAGAAGGGAGTGGTAATATTTTACCCATTATCTGAGATAGTCTTGGGACTAATGCTCCTTGGCTGCTCATGTCTTCCCGGCCCACAGAATACTAACAAATGTCTCACCCAGTGGCTCTGTCCTCGCAGTTTATCATTTGATTCTCCTACTATTTCTTCCCATACAGCAGCTGTTCGGTCAAATGAACAAGAAGCCAACACCTGTCCAAATTCAGGATGGGCCCATGTTACACGCCATACAGATCCACTATGTGTCTAGGGAATCAAAAGGAAAAAAAAAGAGCAAATATTCATTATCCCAGGGCTTTTATTCCCTAAAAACTTAGTTTATTCATATTTCATAAATACTGGTTTTATATGAGGAAACAGAATATAGTTTTACTTCTATAAGAGGAGAAAACTGATCAATGTAACATGAAAATAAAACATTAAATTCCAGAATGTTTTAACCTTTAAAAAACATTCTATATTTAGCATTGTGGCCCTTCTGGAGGTCCAGTTCTTCTGACATTTTACTAATAAAGAAAAATCTAGCCAGATAAAGTTGATTACTTCCAGTGTTGATCATTGGGAGACTTGCTTCAGAGCTTAGCGTAACTAACGTTTGAAACAAAGGTTCTACATGTCCACCATCTTAATTGCAAATGCTTTTTACAGGAAATACGCACCTAACAAAATAAATAACATTAGATTTATTTGCTCCAAAATCCATAGAGACAGAAAGTAGATTAGTGGTTACCAGGGGCTGGGACAGAGGAAACAAGAGGTGACTGCTAAATGAGTACAGGGTTTCCTTTAGAGGCAGTAAACAATGTTCTGAAACTAGAAGTGGTGGTGGCTGCCAATTTAATGAATAGACTCAAAAATCACTAAATTGTATACTTTAAATGGGTGCACATTATCACATTATGATATGTAAATTATAGCTCAATTTAAAAAATACTTTTTTTTCTGAGACAGAGTCCCACTGTCACCCAGGCTAGAATGCAGTGGCACCATCTCGTCTCACTGTAACCTCCGCCTCCCAGGTTTAAGTAATTCTCCATCTCAGCCTCCCGAGTAGCTGGAATTACAGGCATGGTCCACTACACCCAGTTCATTTTTTGTATTTTTAGCAGAGATCAGGTTTCACCACCTTGGCCAGGCTGGTCTTGAACTCCTGACCTTGTGATCCACCCACTTCATCCTCCCAAAGTGCTGAGATTACAGGTGTGAGCCACCGTGATCAGCCAAATTAAAAAAAAAGTTTTTTAAACTTGCTTCAACCAGGCATAGTGGCTCATGCCTGTATTCTCAGCACTTTGAGAGGCTGAAGTGGACAGACTGCTTGAGCCAAGGGGTTCAAGACCAATCTGGGCAATATGGCAAAACCCCATCTCTACAAAAAATAAGCTAGGCGTGGTGGTATGCACTTGGGGTCCTAGATGCTTGGGAGGCTAAGGTGGGAGGATCACTTGAGCCTGTAAGGTTGAGGCTGCAGTGAGCCAAGATTACGCCACTGCACTCCAGACTGGGTGACAAAGAAGGACCTTGTCTCCAAAAGAAAAAAAAAAAAAAAAGTATTTGCTTCAAAAGTCTAACAATATTTAGAGATAGTAGCAATAAAATGCTTAAATGATTTTAACTGGCAATACAAATAGACTATTGTAGGAAGAATAAACATAGGGAAGCCCAAATCCTTATACCCCTTATGTTGGCCGAGGGGGGAAGGCGAGGAGGGTGGAGAAGGGATACAAAGGTCTTAAAGCATTGTACTATCAAAAGAATTTGCAAGGTGCTTCTCAGGAAAAATACTGCATAATAACAAACAACATTCAGAAAATGTGTTTCACACTGTATAGCTAACATTTTTTACATTCAACAACACAAAAATAGTTTACCCAATCACTTCTACATGACAACAATATCACCAACTAACGGTACATTTTGCACCCTTATTTTTTAACTTGTTTTGTCCAGTCTTTTCTATGCCATCTTCAATTCCTACTTACACAGGGCTACAAAGTTAAAAATGCACACTAAGGCAGATAAGTTGTATTATATTTACAGTAAAACGCAATCTAAAGAATAAGGTTTGCCCAAAGATGCTCATCACAATAAAATGGAAACTTAAATATCCATTAGTTAAGCAAAATGGTGTATTTACTGGCCGTTAATAAAAAGCCGTTATATAGAAAAGTACATATGAAATATGTTAGGCTTAAAAGCAAGAGATAAGGGTTTCCTTTTGGAATGATAAAAATGTTTTAAACTAGAAAGAGGTGGTAGTTGCACAACACTGTAAATGAAGTAAATGCCACTTAATTATTTACTTTAAAATTATTAATTTTATGATACGTGAATCTCGCCTCAAAGGGCGGGGGGGAACGTGAATAGACCTTTCACAAAAGAGATATGAATGGCAAATAAGCATATGAAACAATAATCAACATGAGGTATGAAGAAAATACAAATCAAAATCCAATAATCTTGTAGTCACTTCTCAACTACTAAAATGGCTATAATAAAAAAGACAGATATTATCAAGTATAGGTGAGGATGTAGAGCAACTGGAACCACACACATGGCTGGTGGGCACAGCCACTTTGGAAGTTTAGCAGTTTCTTAGAAAGCTAAGTATGTATAACCCATCAATTCCACTCCTAGGCATCTATCCAAAAGAAATGAAAATATATGTCCACAGAAACTTACGTGGCTTCACATTACTCATAACAGCCAAAAACTAGAAACAACTCAAATGTCCATCAGCTGGTGAATAGACAAAATGTGGCGATATATATACAATGGACTACTCAGTATTATAAAGGAACAAACTGACACAAGACACAATATGGATGAACCTCAAAACATGCAAAGGGAAAGTGGCCAGACACAAAGGACAATGTATTTCAAAATTCCATTTCTATGAAATTTCTAAAAAGGATAAACCAGGCTGGACACGGTGGCTCATGCCTGTAATCCCAGCACTTCCGGAGGCCAAAGAGGGTAGATCACTTGAGGCTAGGCGTTCGAGACCGGCCTGCCCAACATGGTGAAACCCTATCTCTACTAAAAATACAAAAATTAGACAGAAGTGGTGGCAGGTGCCTGTAATTTCAGCTATTCAGGAGGCTGAGTCAGGAGAATTGCTTGAATCCAGAAGGCAGAGATTGCAGTGAGCCAACACTGCACTCCAGCCTGGGCAACAAAGCAAGCCTCCAGCAAAGACAAGAAAAAGAAAAACCTATGGAGACAGAAAATGGATCAATCCTGGGACTTGGAGTGGGAATAGGACACAAAGGAATTTCTGAGTTTGAGAGAAATGTTCTAAAAATTGATTACAGTGATGAGTACACAACTATGTAAGTTTACTAAAACTCGCTGAATCGTACATTTAAAATTGATGACTTTTAAGGTATGAAAATTTTTACTTGGCGGGGCGTGGTGTCTCATGCCTGTAATCCCGGCACTCTGGGAGACCGAGGCAGGTGGATCATCTAAGGTCAGGAGTTTGAGACCAGGCTGGTAACATGGCGAAGCCCCCTCTCTACTAAAAATGCAAAAATTGGCTGGGCGTCATAGTGTGTGCCTATAGTCCCAGCTACTCAGGAGTCTGAGGCAGGAAAATCACTTGAATTCAGGAGGCAGAGGTTGTAGTGAGCCGAGATCATGCCACTGCACTCCTGCCTGGGCAACAGAGCAAGACTCCGTCTCAAAAAAAGCAAAATAAAGGAGAAAACTATGTATGAAACATCACAACTATTAAAATATGTAACGGAAAAAAGAATATTCTGAATTACAATTATGTTAGAATGCTACAAAATTACAGATTTTCTTACTCAAATTCTGAGAAACACACTTGTTACTTTAATAGTGAAAAACAGTAAAGTGTCTTTCCAGGAAAAGAACTACTGCATAAATGTTATAGTTTCCTCAAAACAATTCATTGATAACTATGAAACAAACAGTAAATATTTATGTATTTTTAATAACTATAAAAATAAATACTAACCTTCCAGCTAGCAGTACAATGCCAATCACCACTTTCACTTTTATCCCAGACCTATAAGAAAATAAAAGGCAGATATTTTATACAAGAATTCTTACAAATTTATACAAAAACCATAAGACCGAATCAGTGTATGAGCAAAGGGGTGAACATATAATTCACAAAAGGATACAAACAGTAAGTAAACATTCATTCATTCAATTAAATATTTATTGAGAGGCCGGGTGTGATGGCTCTTGCCTGTAATCCCAGCACTTTGGGAGGCCAAGGCAGGCAATCGCCTGAGGTCAGGAGTTCAAGACCATCCTGGCCAACATGGCGAAACCCTATCTCTAGTAAAAATACAAAAATTAGCTTGGCATGGTGGCACGCACCTGTACTCCCAGCTACTAGGGAGACTGAGGCAAGAGAATCACTTGAACCCGGGAAGCAGAGGTTGAAGTGAGTCAAGGTCACACCATTGCACTCCAGCCTGGGCGACAGAGTGAGACCGTTCTCAAAAAATACTTATTTATTGAGAACCTTGACTGTGTCAAGCACTGGGCCAACCACTGAGGGATTCAGGAAACTGAGCTCTAATAGGTAACAGAGACAATTAGTTACAGTCAAATCTCCTTATTCAAGGTAGTTATCTTCTACAGAGTCGCCTCTACCACAGACACATTGCTCCTAGGGGAAATACAGGGTTAGGTTCCCTGAGTCTCTGGCCGACATTTTTGTCAACCAATCAGTACATGATGTGGTTTTATGTGTGTTTCTGTTTAAAGGTAACTTATTTAACACACAGTAATGCAAAAATCACTGCACTTTTAGATCATGAAAAACACCTGTTTACAGTACAAGCCAAAATAGAGTAACACCTGGTTTCACCTCCACAAGATATGTCTGTCCTGAGACTCAAGCTTTTCATCATTCTGCACACATGCACAAAGGACTGCAAAAGCAGTGTGGATACTGATTTGGGGGGTACAAGTAAATTTCAGAGAATAGACAAATTCAAAAAAATACAGAATCTACAAACAACAGGCTCAACTGTACATGTAACAAATGGCAAAGCAAAAATATAGAAACCAGGCATGGTGGTTCACACCTGTAGTCCCAGCTACTCAAGAGGCTGAGACAGGAGGGATTACTTTAGTCCTGGAGTTTGAGGCTATGATCACATCCATGAATAGCCATTGCACTCCAGCCTGGGCAACATAGCAAGACTCCTTCCCCAAACAAAAAATTGAACCTTATTACCCAGAAAAAATATAGAATACAGTAAGAAGGTGCCAATTTCACCTGTTAAAAATGTAACGAGGGCAATGACACTATCAAATCAATACTATCACTAGCAGTATAAAACGGTACGACCTGCAAGATAGCAACTTGTCAATTCTCTTCAATAGCTTTTAAAATATTCACTAATTTCTCTTCTGAAATTAGCCTAAGAAAATCATTCAAAATACATAAAATGCTAATGAGAATTTTCAGTCCAACACTATTTCTGACAAGACATATATGTATTTACACATATTATACTATGATGATTTAAAACGTTAAAGGAAAACCAGAGGAAATCAAATATTAACAAAAATTATCAATGAGCCTATGAGTAATTTTTTCACTTTCTAAAAAGAAAAATATACTACTTGCTCAAATAAAATATACATACAAAGAAATAAATACATGGCTCCTACATTTAAAAAAAAAGTACTCTGGAATAAGTGGACATAACAGGGCTGGGCAAGGTGACTCACACCTGTAATCCCAGCACTCTGGAAGGCTGAGGTGAGAGGATCATTTGAGCCCAGGAGTTCAAAACCAGCCTGAGCAACATCACAAGATCCTGTCTCTACAAAAAAAGTTTTTTTTAATTGGCCAGGCGTAGCAGTGTGTGCCTGCAGTCCCAGCTACTGGGGAGGCTGAGGTGGGATGATCACTTGAACCTGGGAGGTTGAGGCTGCAACAAGCCAAGATCGCGCCACTGCACTCCAGTCTGGGTAACAGAGCCAGACCTCGTCTCAAAAAAAAAAGAAAATATTATCCTAAGTAAAATAAACCAAATATAAAAGGATAAATATTCTATGATTCTATTTATCTGATGTACCTAGAACATGCAAATTCATAGAAAGCAGAAGAATAGAGGTTACCAGAGGATGGGGTGGAGGAAATTGGGTGCTCTCTGGTACAGTTTCAGTTTAGGATGATGAACAGGTTGTGAAGACGGACAGTGATGGTGCTGTATAGCAATGTAAATGCTGTACTCAATGCCACTGAATTCTACACTTTAAAACGATTAACGTAGTTTATTACAACAAAAATAAACTTTTTAAAAAACCTAAACTTTTAAGAATTGCAACACTATTTATAAAAAGTTTATCTTTGAGAGATCACTGGTATCAAACTCGAATGTGAAAAAGGAAAAACTATCCTTTAGATTTTCAGTTACTCTGGAGTTGTCAAGAATCAAATAATCCGCACTACAGCTTTCACTCATCCTGCAATACCTCTGGGAGATTTCTAAATCCCAAATAGCATCCCCACATTAGAAATTCTCTTTGTCGGAAGCGTCTACAGATGTTTACGAGAGCTTCAAGAAACAAACACTCCGAGTCCTAGGCAGCAGGCAGGGAAGTCACTGGATGTAAATGGTTTGTGTTTTCCTTTCTTGGCGAAACAAAGTGAGCTTCGGCTCGGAACCCACGAAGAAAACCATGTGCCCTGGTGAGAGAACACCGGCGGGGCACAACACTCAAGACAACGCCAGCCAAGCAAAGACTCCCACCAGGTCCCTGGGTGAACAGCACGGCAAGGCCCAAGAGTCCCAGGCGGCCAGTGGGACGCCGGCTGGTTCCTGCCCGCATCCAGGGAAACCCGGCCGGTGCAAGCGCCCGGCGTCCCCTGCGGGCGGGAGCGCGCACGTGGTACCAGCTGCGCAGGCGCACGGGAGCGCGGCCCGCGAGTCCGCCGTGACCCCACAATGCGCGGGCGGGGAGGGCTTCCGCCGCATCCAGCCAGGGCTAACCCGCCACCCCAGAGCTTCCAGCTAAGTCAATGAAACCAAGTCATAGCCCCGTTTCCCGCGTCGCCCACCCCACTCTCCCTCCTTCCGGGCTCGGCCCCGCCCGCAAGCGCCTCGCGCACCTTAACGCTCTGATCGCTGGAGCAGGTAGCCATCCGCCTCCCGTGGAAATCGAAAGAGACATCGTGGATGAGATCCTTGTGGTCGGCCGCGATGCTACGCGCCACAAACATGGTTTCCGCCGGGCCCGCGCCTCCGAAGAGGGCAGTGACGGCGGCAGCGGCGGCGGCGGCGGCGGCGCGGGGCTCGCAGCCTAGCCAAACTTAGCCGCCCCGGCGCGCACGGCGCGTGCGGCCCACGCCCCCGCACCGCCCCTGCCCATTAATCCCCGCCCACACCCCCCGGCCCGTCGTCCCGCGCCCCACCGCCTGTCCCTCAAGCCCCGCCCCACCCGCTGGCCCGTCAGGCCTCGCACCGCCCCCTGGCCCGTCAAGCCCCGCCTACCCCGACCCCCCTCCAGCCCCGTGCCTCGCCCCGCCCTCCCGCCCCCTCCAGCCCCACTCTGTACCCCCTCGGGTCAAGCCCCGGCCTGCCCCCGGCCCATCAGGCCCTGCGAGCCTGGTGAGAGTGCTCCCCGGCTCCGACAGTTCAGCGGCAGAGGCTGCTCTACAAAATGGGAATTACCTGTGCTGAGATGGAGGTAGTAAGAGCTTCTCGGTATTGTAAGGTTAGCCAAGCGAAAGGAGAATAGACCCAAAGTCAGGCAAGCACGTTTTATTAACCTGCCGGGCTGCCCCATAACAGTCAGAGGAGGCAGCCCTGAGCTTACAAAACAAGGGATTTATATGGGGTGAGAGGGGCATAAGGGAGTTTCAGGACTGAGATAATTTAACAGCTTGTAACAGGCACAGAGATAGTTTGTTAACTTGTGACAGACTTACGTTATCCTGTGACTTTTGTGGCGCTGGTTTTTTAAAAAACCCAGGATTTTACAGTTATGTGTCAAACAGGAATTTACAAGTATGGATAACAAACATTTGTTTTCCCTGTCCTTCCCCAAGCTGCCCGGATAGCTGTAATCAAGCTTTGCTTAATTGTAGCACGTCTGATACCCTTGACGTGGCACAGTTCTGAAATGCAGCTGCAGAGCAATGGGGGGGGAGGAGTTAGCTTGCGCGGAGGGGATTTTCTGAGGCAGCTTGTACGTGACATTCCAGCCTTTTAATAGGTAATAGAGGAGGGGCAACGTCTGGGGAGAGACTGGATTGTAGGCATTGCAGTTCCCGGAATATTCTTGGAGCAGCATTGTATCTTGTATTGTTTCATGGGTGAAAGCTTTAATGCGGTCCTGTAAAAACTGGGTGAGGAGCTGTAAGAAGCAGGGGCCAAATGCTAGAAGTAGGAAAAGGGTTATGGCAGAACCTAGAAGGGGCAATAGCCAGGGTGCCCAGGAATTACAGAACTACTAGGACCAGGTGAACTGTCTTTAAGTTTTTGTGCTTGGTCTTTGAGTTTTCATTCTGAGCCAGCTTGTCCCTAACAGGTATAACGTACAAATGAAGAAAGATGAAGAAGTGGACTGTGTCGCACGTTACTCGGTCCTGAATCATTTACGTCTACGTTTGGATGTGTTCCCCCATCCCCACCCCCAGACACATGCGAGGCGCGCGAAGCAAGTGGAGGCCAACCGTGAGTTTGGTCAGGGGCTGTACTTGGCCGGCTGGGAGGGCTGAGAAGCAGAGAGGACAAGGGAGACGCCTGAGGGGATGACAGGGTGTCCAGACTCAGCAGCTGAAGAGCAAAGGCTGGAGGGGGGAGGAACGGATCAAAAGTAGTGGTTTAAATGTGTCAAGATTTCACCAGTAGAACAGGCCGGGGGGTGCTAGGAGCCACCAAGGGGGTAGGAATATAGTAGAAATTAGAAGAGTGCCGGTAAAAACGTGTCACCCAGGTTGGGCACAGTGGCTCACGCCTGTAATTCCAGCACTTTGGGAGGCCGAGGCAGGCGGATCACAAGGTCAGAAGTTCGAGACCAGCCTGGCCAACATGGTGAAACCCCGTCTCTACTAAAAATACAAAAATTAGCTGGGCGTGGTGGTATGTGCCTGTAATCCCAGCTACTTGGGAGGCTAAGGCAGAGAAATTGCTTGAATCCGGGAGGCAGAGGTTGCAGTGAGCTAAGATTGCCCCATTGCACTCCAGCCTGGGCGACAGAGCAAGACTCTGTCTCAAAAATAAATAAATAAACAAAAAACATGTCACCCCAGAGGAAGGAAGCTGCTGGAAGAGGTGGGTGGCCTGCTAGCCAGGACCCAGAGTCCTCCAGGGAAAAAATAGTGAAGAGGGCCAGAGCCCCTGAGGGGAGGCCTGGCTCAGACCAAGGATTCTGCCAAGACCGGAATATGAAGGAGCCTCTTCTGAGGACGCCCACGACTCAGGAGGGTTGCTTATCAGGAAAAGGCATTCTAGAGGGCATAGTGGTAAAGTTAGGAAGGGAGACAGTGGAAGCTTGTGTCAGCGGAGTGAAAGTACAGGAAAAAAAAAAAAAAAAAAACTTAAAATGAGGCTGCAGAAGGGACTTTTTAGATTTTGGCCAGGAATGACAAGAATGTAAAGTATGGTAAGATTAGCAGGCTGGAAAGTTTTTAAAATAATTAGTCCCAGCTGTTCCCTGATGGATTGAACAGATACCTGCAAATAGAGGTGGCCAAATGACCTGAACTTTTATAACTATAAATAAGATTTTATTGCTACTTTAAGAGGTGGGCCCCTCCTCTTATGATAACTGGTAACAGCTATAACTTTTTTGAAGGTCAGAGACAGTCATTTCCAAAGAAAGTACTCACCATAAAAGTCCAATCAAAATAAATTATAAAAATACCAGAACAGTTTAAAAATTATTTGAATTAAATTTAAATACAGACAATAAACAGATCAGTGGTTGCCAGAGATTAGCAGAATGGGAGTGAAGTGTTGAATTAGGTGAAACAGTGGATTTCTAAAGACAGACTAATTTTTAGAACAATTTCAGCTTCACAGCAAAATTGAGCAGAAAATATAGTTCCCATATACATGCCTACTGCCCCACAGGCATAGCATCCTCCACTGTCAACATCCCATACCAAAGTGGTACATCAGTGAACCTGCATTGACACATCACCCAAAGTTCAGAGTTTGCATTAGGGTTAACTCTTGAAGTTTTATTCTGTGGGTTTTGGCAAATATATAATGACATGGATCCACCATTATGGCATCTCACAGAATAGTTTCACTGCCCTGAAAATCTTTAGTGCTCCTGTTCATCCCTTTCTCCCTGCAACACCCTTTTCCAGAATGCCATATAGTGGGAATCATGGAGTGGCTAGCCTTCTCACATTGGCTTCTTTCCTTATAGTAATATGTATGTAAGCTTTCTCCATGTCTTGTCTTAATAGTACATTTTTTTAAGTGCAAAATAATATTCCATTGTCAGACTATAACAATGTTTATTCATTCACCAACTAAAAGGCACCCCGGTTTTTTCTGTGTTTGGGCAATTATGAATAAAGCTCTTACAAACATCTGTGTACAGGTTTTTATGTGGACATGTTTTCAACTCCTTTGGGTAGATACCAATGAGTGTGATTGCTGAATCATATTGTAAGAGTAAGCTTAGTTTTGTTTTGGGGGTTTTGTTTTGTTTTCTGAGACAGGGTCTCACTCTGTCATGGCTTAGGCTACAGTACAGTGATGTAATCATGGCTAACTGCAAATTTGAATTCCCTGGGTTCAGATGATCCTCCCACCTCAGCTTCCCAAGTAGCTGGGACTATAGGCACAGTGCTACCACGCCCAGCTATTTTTCTGGTTTTTTTTTAGAGATGGGGTTTCACCATGTTGACTGGGCTGGTCTCAAACTCCTGGACTCAAGCAGTCCTCCCACCTTGGCCTCCCACAGTGCTGGCATTACAGGCATGAGCCGCTGTGCCTGGCCTAGTTTTATAAGAAACTTACAAACTGTCTTCCAAAGTGGTTGTATCAGCCAGGCCAGGTGGCTAACCCCTGTAATACAGCACTTTGAGAGGCTGAGGCAAGCAGATTATTTGAGCTCAGGAGTTCAAGACCAGCCTGGGTAACATGGCAAGACCCCCGTCTCTACTAAAAATACAAAATAATAGCCAGAGTGGTGGTGGAGCAAGATTATGCCACAGCACTCCAACCTGGGCAACACAGGGAGACACTATCTAAAAAAAAAAAAAAAAAAAGAATTTAACATGGGAAACTAATTGCAAATATATCGGAGGGGTTAATTAAGAGCAAAAAGGGAACATGTGAGATTACCCAGAGACTAGTAACTACGAGAAACTTTGGGCTGGAAGCGTGAAAGGGAAAATAGTTTTGCCCAGACTATCATTGACTTTGAGGCTGCTGACGTTGGCATCTTTATCATCAACAGGCAGAAAGCCAGGAGCCAATACTCCAGCTTACACTGCAGGCATTCAATAGAGCAACAGCCACAGGAACCCACAAGCTCTGAACAGCTGAGGTTCCTGGAGCCTCTCTACTACTGCTGGAGCTAGGATTACGTGCTGCTGCTATTGCTGCTGTTCAAATCCCTCTCCTGAGCAGGAAGCCAAGCTCTAGGTTAACTTCATTGTAGGTTATTTATTTATTTATTTATATTTTTGAAATGGAGTCTCGCTCTGTCACCTAGGCTGGAGTGCAGTGGCGCAATCTCGGCTCACTGTAACCTCCGCCTCCAGGGTTTCAGCGATTCTAGGAGCCAGTTTAAATAGAAACTGGAAGATTCCTATGACGATTTTGTAGAAGATTCCATGAAGATTTTGTAAATCATGTTCACAAAATTTTATCATCCTGATGCCTTTGGTGATGATGGGTATAGTCAATTTTAACTACCTTTTAAAATTATTTTATTCATGGCCTCTGCAGATGTTTTACTTTTTGTCAAGCCAATTTTAGTCATTTATATCTTCCTTTAAAACATCATCCATTTTGTGCCGGGCATAGTGGCTCATGCCTGTAATCCCAGCACTTTGGGAGACCAAGTTAGAAGGATTGCTTGAGCTCAGGAGTTCAAGATCAGCCTGGGCAACATAGTGAGACCTCATCTCTAAAAAAACAGAACAAAACAAAACAACAACAACAAAAAATTAGCCAGGTGTGGTGGCACATGCCTGTATTTCAGCTACTTAAGAGGCTGAGGCAGGAGGAGGATCACTTGAGCCTAGGAGGCAGAGGTTGCAGTGAGCTGAAATCGTGCCACTGCTCTCCAGCCTGGGTAACAGAGTGAGACATTGTCTCAAATAAATAATCAGCCATTTCACTGAAACATTTAAATGTATTAATATAGAGTTATATATGTTAATTTCTTGCAATT